CTGTGACAAAGAAGAATTTTAGCTGAAGTTGAAAATTTACTATTTTTCAATAGCAACTAAAAACTTATGTTGGTATAAACCTGTTTTGCTATCTGAGTAATTTGTTGCAATTCGCCTGCAGCCCCAGTTGTAATTTCGGGTTCTCCGAAAATCATCTTCTGCTGCTCTGCCTCCAATCCTCCAACTATTCTAGCAAATAGTTTTGCTTGGAGATGAGTTCAGGATCTTCCACCAGGTAAGAACCATGTAAGCCCGCGAGCTTGTCCTCGGGGAATCAGAGTGACTTTCTGCACTGGATCATGGCCTGGAGTCAATGTCCTGCAAATGCATACCAAATAAAGAAGTCAGTCACAATGCCATTGAAAAATCAGTCTTGTTCGAGTTTTCGTTGTATCAAATACTTACGCACAAACAGCATGTCCAATTTCATGATAAGCCACCAGAATTTTGCTCTTTCCGTCAGTCATCTTGGTTCCCCCATTCCACCACAATTCTGTCAATTGAGTCATCAATCTCTTTCAATGTAATCTTGTCTTGCCTCTCCTACCGGCAAGAATGGCAGCTTCATTCATCAGTTTGCCAAGTCTGCACCACTGAATCCTGGAGTCCTCATGGCTATAACACTAAGAGAGACATCCTTATCAAGCTTCTTATTGTTGCTGTGCACCTTTAAAATCTGTTCCCTTCCCCTTAATCAGGCAGCCCCACAGAAACCTGCCCACACACACAACAACAGAAGTTTACATAATTTCTAATCTTAACAGCTTACTTAAGTCAAATCCTGGGTCCAACCAAGTAGAAATGGGTCCATGCCCGTAGGGATCGCTTTTGGCTGCACGTTGCGTCCTTCACTCAAAAGCATCTTTACTTAGTCAAACCAAGCCTTATAAACTGAATCTCAAACTATTTGCTAGCGATAAATATGATTTAAGTGTGTTTCTTTCTTAAGATAAACCTAGCTTACCTGTCTGTCAAACCTTCCAGGCCTAAGCAAAGCAAATCAAGAATTCAGGCCGATTCGTTGCGGCAATAACAATCACTCCACTGTTGCCACTGAAACCATCCATTTCAGTGAGCAATTGGTTCAATGTTTGCTCCCTTTCATCATTTCCTCCACCAATGCCAGTTTCCTCTCTGTCTCCCAACCGCATCTATCTCATCAATAACACCAAGCAAGGGGAATTAGCCTTTGCCTTTTGAACAAGTCTCTCACTCTTGAAGCTCCAACTCCACAAACACTCAATGAACTCTGATCCTGAAGAGAGAAAAAAGGAACCCCTGCTTCTCCAGCTATGGCCTTTGCCAACAATGTCTCCCTGTTCCTGGGGCCCTACTAAAAGAACCCCTTTCGGAATTTTCGCACGACTGCGGCAAACTTCTCCGGGGTTTTTAAGAATTGGACAATCTCTTGAAAATCTTGCTTTGCTTCGTCCACTCCAGCACTCATCAAATGTAACTCCAGTATTAGGCTCCATCTCAAATTTGGCTTTGCTCCTGCTTCCAAATATCAAAGTTAGTCACTATTTTGAGCACAATTAAGGCCATTTAGATGAAGAAAATTCTAAAAACACTTGCCTTCCAAGTCCAATGGCAAGTTTGGACCTCCAGGAGTGTTTTAGAAGAAGAACGCAAAAACAGAGCCAAGCAATAGCAAAGGGAAGCCAAAGTTTGTTAGAAAGTCTAAAGCAAGTCCCCAGTTGAAATCCATTGGATGAACTGCAAAATCGACATTTTTCTCTTCCATTTTCCGGAGCAACTCTTGAGGCAATCCTGGTAACTGCACTTTACCCCTCTGGATTCTCTCGAGAGCTGGATTATAAAGCTCGGCGATCGCGACGGTTCCATTCTCAAACAGGTCTACTTCCTCACAGCACCCTCGTTTAAGTACTGCAAGAATCTTGAGTATGACATTCTACTTGAGTGGACTCACTTGGGCTCTCAGGTTCACAGATTTGCAGGCTGAGCCATTGACAGTCCCCCGCCAATAAGCCCCAAAGCAGTGGAACTCAACAAGTTTCTTTAGTCAGTTTGACATCTAGGTGTTTTCTGACATGGGTTCTCTCTAAAAGTTCTTCTCGGAAGGAGGGTGTCCTTAGAAAAATCCTGAGTTTGCAGGAGGAAGATGGGAGATAGACAGAGATACAGCAGGAGCCATTTTTTTAATGTGGTGTGTACTTTGTTGTTTTGGGAGGGAAAAGTCGAAGCTGTTTAAATAAGGGAAACATAGGATGTTCCAGTAGTTGCTGTTTGGCATTTACTGGTTAAGTCTCATAATCTTGAAGGCTAGAAGAAGTGCTTTTTCATCCAAAATCACTTCTTGAAAGCTGATGGCAAGTAGAAGCCAAAGCAAGTAGGAGAGTTTTATCTCACTCTTTCTCAACCATACACTTGGAACAGAGAGGTGTACTATACAATTTCATGATCTTAATGGGTCTAATAATTTCTTATAAAATGATGCCACGTTATTATATCCTTTGTGGTTAGAAAATTACCTTAATTAGTACATAGGGTTTAATTTTTTCAAAGCCTTTGTCAATAATTTCCATTCCTCTAGTTAGAGCTATGTAGAATTTAGGGATGTTCATACCCGCTTAACCATTTTTTGAATTGAACTAGTCTTTCGGTTTGAAATTTTCTGAATCGAAATCGAACCGATTAAGGAAAAACCGATTTTTTTAGTTAACTAAAAAACTTATTATCGTTTTGAACAGTTTTCCCTTTAACTTGTTTTTTATTTTGATTTTTCCTTAATTTAACTTTTTTTATTTTGGAGGGAGAGAAAAGTGAAAATCAGTAGAGTTTGAAGAGAAATGCATAAAGGTGAAGGATAAATAGAAACAGATTTGAGATTTAGAGTTTTTTAATTTTAAAGTGAAACAAATTTTATAAACCGGTTAAAAATTTATTTAACTGATAACTAAACTAAATCTGTTTATAATTTTCTTGAACTGAAATCGAATTAACTTTTTATTTATCCAAAAACCGATTTAATTCAGTTTTATATTTTTTGAACACTCATCGTACTCATCATGGCTAAGACTTCAACTTTGATTATTTCTTAATAATTTATGTACTTGCCAAATGTTTTGTTCCAACTCATAATTACTGTAATTCGCAAGTCACATCATTTGTTGACTGATTGACAGTATCTTGACCTTTAAATGGTCATGATGTTGTAAATTTTAGGCATCTTGTTAGGGCAAACACAACATCCAGTTCCAGTACTGGACCACATCCCATTAGAGGAAAGGATATATCCGGTAATACCAATGATTTGAGCGATTAATGAACATAAACCAATTATGTGGTTTTAGGGGTATTTTGGTTAGTTTTTAAAATAATATCTTGAAAAAATAAATTGGTGTAGGATTTGAATTAATAAAAATGTCTTTTATGTTTATTATTTACTAAACACTCTTATAATAAATATTAAAAGTTAATAAAAACCATTTAACTCACCCATTAAATACACAGTCGGTCACCACCGTCAGAGGGTGGTCGGAGTGTTTTACAATTTCAAAAAAAATATTTGGAGATATTTAGTAAATTAACAATTTAAGGGGTTTAAAAAAGAGTAATCTACTTCATCGAAGTAGTAACACCAAATTTATGTACAAATGACGTGATAATCCTACGTTGAGCAATATTAGTTATATTAGAGAAATTGAATAATATGAATAATATTTAAATATGCATTTTTACTGTTTAATTTTATTGGGAATAATAATAATAGTATTTCCAAGAGTGACCAACAGCCCTAGATTGTGCTTTCCTTTTTTATGATGCACCTAATGCAATTTGGTAGCCTTTAATTAAACCAATTATGTGGTTTTAGATGTTTTTGACTAATATTATACAAATAAATTTATTAAATAAAATAATATTATAAATCTCAACGCATTCATGCACAGTGATGCGTCGTTTATCTAAATTTCATATTAAAAAGTTAAAAAAAAATATATTTTTTAAGAATGAAACGATGACGTTTACGGCCAACTCAAAAGCCCCCGAGGGAACGCGCAGAAAATAACGACCTAACGGCAATTGTCCAAGAGTAAGAGTTTGTAGATAAAAGCAACGTAGAGAGAACACAGAGAGACTCAAAATAAACAAAATCCACACATACACGACAACAGCTTCGCTTCGCTTTGACGTAACATCAATCAAAGGTTCATTAGAAGTTTCAAAACTTTAAACATTTTTAGACACTTACATGCCACCAAACAGCGCCAACCGCCTTCGATTGTCCAGTTACTTTCTTGCTTTTCACGAAGTATACCCTTCATTGTATCTTTATCTTCTCCTCTTCCTCCTCCTTTTTATTTCTTCTATGGAGTTTCTGGAAAGTAAAACTTTGAGGTATGCAATGTATGATCTTCTCTATGCTTAACTTTGAGGTATGCAATAATGACTCTCTATGCATAAAACACATTGTATTGATATGTTTTGGTGATGAGTATCACAGATTTCAGGTGTGATTTTTGTTTTGGAAGTGGGTTTTTGTTTTGTTTGTGGGGTTTGTGAGACTGAATTATGGATATGTATTATAGGTTAATTTTTTAGTAACTTGGGTATGGGTAGTGAACTGTTCTTTATTTATTTTTATTTTTTATGTATATCGCATTTCTGTTTGTGTACTATAAAACACATTGTCTTGGTTTTATTTTATTTTTCTAATTTTTGTGGGACTTGTGAATTGTGTAGATCTTTAAATACCTACTGGTTTGATTTCTCGTTGATTTGTTACATAGTAGAATCTTTGGATTCTTGTGTCATATTTTTAGTGGTTTTCATGACAGGAAATATCAATAGGGTGGTTTTAGATAAGGTTTTTTCCCTTATTTTTACCATCTTTTCCAATTTTCATCCGTTGAATTTGTGCTGAAAATTTAAAAAAAATAAAATGTCTACTATTTACTCTTCACTACTTAATTCCCTTTCTTCATGGTTTTAAGTTTTTGTTTGAGCATTTATAATTTTGGTTACAATATCATGCTACAATGCGCTTGAGAGAGTGGCCAGAATTTGTTAGATTGTTGAATAAAAATGAGAAATGGTCGGGAGCATTTGCATTGGGTCCTGTTTATGCTACTAGTTATGAGGTATTCTGTGCTGAAAAATCCGATTGGGGAATTTCTCTTTCTATTCCTATTGCCGCCAACACAATTAGTCCTCTTTCTTTTCCTTTTGCCTTCAACACAAGTAGTCCTCTTGAATTGCATCAAGATGGGGTCCGCCGACTGCTCAGCCTCCGGAATCTGCTAACAAGGTGATTTCTGCTGATGCATTGGTGTCTGGTCTTTTTCTCAAAAGGAACTTTTCCCAGGAAGTGCATAGTTCTTTGCTCACATGGAATCGTATGAAGCACTTGATCAACTACTCTCAGGGCTTGCCTAATGCAGTAGTGGCGGTTAAAGAAGCTCGAGTGGCATGGGAAAATCTTATGGATTCTTTTGTGAAGGAGCAAAATGGTGACTTAAATAACAGCTCAGTTCAGAAAATGAAGGAGAAACTATGTCCACATTTTCTTAATAAAATGAATGCTACAGAATTTGCTGATAGTGGTTATAAACTAAGAATTCCATGTGGCCTGATTCAGGGTTCTTCAATTACTGTAATTGGCATTCCGAATGGTCTTCTTGGTGATTTTCGGATTGATTTAACTGGGGAGTCTCTCCCAGGAGAGCCAGATCCTCCTATAATTTTGCATTACAATGTTCGGCTTCAAGGCGACAAGATAACTGATGATCCTGTAATTGTCCAAAACACTTGGACTGCGGCTGATGAATGGGGTGAAGAGGAGCGGTGCCCCTCGCCAATTCCTGGTGATATTAAGAAAGGTACTTATATCCATTATGCACTTTGTCCTCAAAATTTTGACATTTGAAATCCATCTTATGCAAGAAGAGAACTTTGAAATATCATTGACATATTTGATCAGATATGGGCCGAAGAAGAATTGCCAATGCAGGGTTCTATCCTATACTCATGAATGTTGATTTTGTTTACCGAACATCTTGAACTTTCATTTTAGAGTTGTGAAAAATCACTTAATTTGTAGCCTTTTACTTTGCATGATAAACAGTGGATGAGTTGAACCAATGTAATGAACTGGTGGGTAACAATGATGCCCGGAAGGCTATGGAAAGTGGATCTCCATCCATTTCTTTACGGTCATCAGTGGCAAGGAACAGATCTGGATCAAGTCAGCATTTTCCATTTAAGCAAGGCTATTTGTCTGTGATGACACTGAGGGTGGGAGAAGAAGGAATTCAGATGACAGTTGATGGAAAGCACATAACATCTTTTGCGTTCCGTGAAGTAAATTCTCTTGTTTCTCACTTAACATGGCGTATGCTCATCTATGTTTCCCCGACTAAATTCACATTTTTGACTGTGATGATTGCAGAGTTTGGAGCCGTGGCATGTAAGTGAAGTAAGAATATCCGGAGACTTGGAACTAATTTCTGTCTTGGCAAGTGGCTTGCCCACATCTGAGGGTTTAGACGATGTTGTGGATCTAACAGCACTGAAATCAGCTCCACTCCAACGCCACCAATCATTAGACCTCTTTGTAGGTGTCTTCTCTACAGCCAACAATTTCAGGCGGAGGATGGCTGTTCGGAGAGCATGGATGCAGTATCCTAATGTCAAGAATGGAACAGTTGCAGTGCGCTTTTTTGTGGGTTTGGTTAGTACCATTTCTTCATTCATCATTCCTTGATATGAAATACTTGTTTGAAACAAATACTCAGGTTTTGTACTATCCTGCAGCATAAAAACCAGATGGTGAATGAGGAACTCTGGAATGAGGTACAAACCTATGGAGACATTCAGCTGATGCCTTTTGTTGAGTATTACAGTCTTATAACCTGGAAGACAATAGCAATTTGCATCTTTGGGGTGAGTTCTTACCTTCATTTCTTTTCCTTTTTGGAAGTAAAAGAGTTTATCTTGTTGGCTTATTTTATGGTTTTGACAGACACAAGTTGTTTCAGCCAAATATGTCATGAAGACAGACGACGATGCATTTGTTCGTGTGGATGAGGTTCTAGCTTCTCTAAATAGATCAAATGTGAGCCATGGCTTGCTATATGGCCTCATCAACACTGATGCTCACCCGCATAGGAGTACTGACAGTAAATGGTATATCAGCCCTGAGGTAAGTTTCCCCACTGCATCCATCAAATTCTGATTGATTTAGCTCTAAATTAGAACCTGAGCCTTGATTCCTTCTGTAATTTTGAAGGAATGGCCTGAATCTACTTACCCTCCGTGGGCACATGGCCCTGGTTATGTGGTGTCACATGATATTGCACGGGCAATTGCTAAGAGAAACAAAGGTCGTTTGAAGGCAAGTCTACCTTCATTCTTTCTATTTCTATATGATATATAAAGCTCACTCAATCCTCATCACATGATACCAATCATATAACGAAATCGAATATGCATGCTGCTGAATCATTATTAATGCTTGGTTTCTGCAGATGTTCAAGTTGGAGGATGTGGCAATGGGGATCTGGATAGCAGAGTTGAAGAAAGATGGTTTGGAAGTAACTTATATAAACGAACAGCGGGTTTACAATGAAGGGTGCCAGGATGGATATGTTGTTGCCCATTACCAAAGCCCCAGGGAGATGCTCTGCCTCTGGCAGAAGTTGCAAGAGGGAAATGCGGCCAACTGTTGCGTGGATCAATAAGCTAGTAGTGCTATAGACTTATTAAATTTGGCATCAGAATGATATTTAACACACAAGTTCTTGACTAAATTTATCGATGAACCGCAACATACAGAATTAATCCTACTAAGCAATTTGATCAAGAGAAGCCGTTAGAGATTCAACAGATAAATTTATGTTTGGTTTTTGACATAATTACAGGTAGGCAGGTGGTAAGTACTGAGTTCTAATATTTTGAGGGATTTATACCATTTGTTTTATGATGAAGCAGATCAGCAATCGTTTGTATAGAGAAATGATAGTATTACATTCTAGCATTCTTCTTTTTCTTTAATTTTAGTCTTATATTTCAAAGTTTAGAATCGATCATCTTCAGAAACATAATGATATATGAACCTCACTTGTTTTGAGTATCATAAACATATTCCTGTGCTGACAAAACTGATTATTCCCCCTGGAATTCAGAATCACTCTAACCAAAGATCATAAATTAATAAAAAATCCATTTTTGTAAAAACCAGAAACAATGACATAAATAATATTTAGTTAATTCATACATATTATGATATTAATCTTCTCTGAAGTAGTAAGTGATACATAATTACTTAATAATACAAGTTGTTATTTGTCCTCTTCATGAAGCCATGCAACCAATTCCATACCTAGTGTTCGGAAACACAAGAAACAAACCACTGCAAACAACCCCCACCATCAATGGAAAACTCTCCATAACTTGATCCATCTCCTTCTCGTGTCCCGGAAACAAACAACTCGTCACTCTATGATCCGAAAACGCTATGGCCACAAACACCATTACCGACATCACTGCATGAACAAAATCATTCAACCCCAGTTTGTACCTCGCCTCTTTCGGAACCTCCACTTCCAGGCCGGGCTTGAACACCGCCAGCCCCTTCGGCGTCACGAATCCGTAGTAGACTTTCCCGTCAGGGCCCCGGAAACTGTCCGTGAAGTGAAAGAAGAAGCAGGAGAGCGTGCAGAGGCCGAGAAGGGCGTAAATCATGAGGGTGCTGACCGGAGAACAGTCGCCTTTGTTGTAAACGGAAGGGAGGACCATTTCGAAGGTTAAAAGGGTGCCTGTGGGAAGAAAGTTTACGAGCATGGAGGTTTTGGAAATGGTCTTTTGTACTCCTTTCGCCATTGCTCGTCTCTTTCTGCCATGTTCGGGGAGAATGGTGGGAGGATTATTGGATTTCGGAGTGGAGCCCTCTGGTGGGGTTGCTGTGTAGATTTTGATGCCGAGTGCTTCTTCAGATTGCTCCATTTAGAGATTGAGCAGAGGGTTGTTTTGTGCAGGATATTTAAAGGGTTGGATTGTGAGTTTGAATTTGAAAGAAAGAGTAGTTATTGACGGTTGAGGAGCGGTTGCTACCGGCTAGTTTCTTGGAGAAATATAATTTGATTGTATATGACTGTTTGCTGTCAATTATTAACTGGAAACGTTGGACTACTCATTTGATTATTAATAAAAAGTTCTCAATCCATTTCTGATAATGCTTGTCAAGGGCCGGAGTCAGAATAAAACCTGCCTAATTTTGAGCTTTATTTTGTAATTATATCATGAAGTCTTAATTGATATAACATGTACTGATGTTTAATATCTTCACCAACAAAATGATTTCACAAATATACAGAGTATTTTAAAACCCGGCCTGGTTGGTTTAACCGGTCAGATTGGGAATCGGGGTCTTCGTCGGTTTAACTAGTCTGATAAACAACCTAGGTCCCAAAATTACAATTACCCCTACCCCTTCCACTCACCCCCTACTCTCACCTGACCGCTGCCTAACCCCTGGTGGCTGGTAGGCCGCGTCCCTCGCTCCAGTCGCGACAACAGGCAATGTCGTGCAATCACAATTGTGCGACGGCAACTGAGCGACTGCTTTCACATGCCCTCCCCGCCCGAGCCCAACGTCCCAACCCCGCTCTCCTTGGTGTATAGCCGCCGAACAATCAGTCGATGGTCGATTTGCATTTGGCCATATCACAGGGGTGTGTTTGTTAGATTTCAAACCTGTAGAGACTGATGTGTGTTTATCAGGGGTGTGTTTTCTATATTTCAAACATGTTGGATTGAGGGAAACCTAATGGTCAAACTGATCAGACCAGTACTAGGTTGGTTTTGAAAACATTGCTCATACGTGATAAAAAGACCAGAAACTCTATAGTAATAGTACAAATAATACATTAAAACATAAATTCAGAATCCCCATATTACAAAATTGTTTGAAAAGCTGAGAAATCGGAATGCATAAAACATAGGAATATCTAAACCCCCTTTGGTTTTGTAAATTACTCTCGGCCCCCCTACTGTTTAACAGCCGTTCTTCTTTTTCGGTAATTTTGACAGAACAGGGATAAAATAGTCAATGCAATAAATGAAATAATTTCATAAGGATTTGTCAAATCTTTTTTCTGGATAAACCGCGGATAAACCGCACCTCTTATTCTTCACCCCTACTGACCCACTCTCACACCACACAACTGCCGCAAACCAGCATCAGTCCTCCCTTCCGCCAAACCCAACCACCCCATGGCCCCTCACCCCTTCCTTCCCAGCGCCTCCACCTTACAGCGAATCCCCAGTGGCCACCCACCCTATCTTTCTTTCCAAAATAACACTTCAAACCAAAATCGTCAACCACCCAAATCAGATTTTTTTTTTTTTTTTTATAAATTAGGAGGAAGGGATTAATAAAATTTGCATATAGATAATCAAAGGGTTAAAAGAGGCATTTCAATACCCTGTATGAGTAGTGAGCAGATTTTAGTAGCTTTTGTTAAACGGTAAAGGGTCGATAGCAATTTATGAAACCACAAGGGGTTTATCGTTATTGTATATCTCCGAGGATTTAGAAATTTTTTGTCATAAAACACATTCAATCTTTATATAAAAAAAAGTACTACAATAACCAGGTGTATAACTAACATATACAGGTAATCATGTTTAATAGTTTGATCTAAATTAAAAATGAAGTTCAGGAAAGCATGTGCAATTTAGATGATAACATAATGTCGAAATCTTAATCATTGAGGTGATAAATAGCAAATTGTTTACCAATATATCAACAAAACTGTTTACACAACTTACATTAAATACATTTATCATTATTACACATGTTGGAATTATTATTGTTTGTTTAATCAAAGTTTGACAGAAAACAGGGGAATGGAAATAGTGAAGCTCTGTTTTGCTTTCTTTTTTCTCTGATTTGATTCATAAAAATGGTTGTAGGATATATGAAAACTCATTGTATTACCTCTCCCCTTGTGACCAGATAGTAAACCCTTCAACTATTAGGGTTAGCTATACCCAAGGGGTTTTGCGTTTGAATCGCAAGAGCTCAGCTCACAATGGGTCCTGCATGTCCAACAATGGGTCCCACCTGATCAAATACGAGCTGCCATATCAGTATTAGTGAGAAGTGTTTGTTAGCTTATCTTTATTCAATTAACAAACAACATATGTTAGTTAAATGTATTGTCTTGTTTGCCCAAAACGTTTGCCAACTTGGTGAAATTAGAATACATAAAACAAATCCAACATGTAAAACAACAGGACAAATGTGTAAATAGAGGGCCCTCCATCAATCAACCAAATACAAACACAAGATCAGTGAAGATCGCAGAAATAAATCCCCTCTTCAAATGTAGGAAAATGGAGTTGTTGTATCACAATCTTAAATGGTATCTTATTCCAGTTTGTGAATGAAGAATTACCTCAATCTTTCTTAGAACTCTGTACACTCTGCAATTATAAAGCATAACACATTGAATTCAAATAATGAAAGAAAAATCATTCAAGCAATTCAATACATCAATCAGAAAAGAAAATTCCCCTGTTGGTATTTTAATTGTTTGTTTTGATTACATTTTAATTCTGCACGGATCTTTCTATCTTGTAACTGTTTCTGATCTTGAAGTATCAACTGTAGAAAGTGGAAAATCATTTCTAAACATACTTCTTTATTTGAATGAACTGTCCTTACATGTGTAGATATATACATCTTTAATGACACACGGAAGTGATTTAAACAGCTATGCATGCTTCCTTTATTTATTTGTTTATTTGTAAATAAGCAGTACTTGAATACATAGTAGCAACAAAAGAAGAAAAAAAGGTATTGAGTTATAATCATCACCATGTATATATGAATATATAATATTTATTAATAGTAAGAACAGAAAACGGAAATAGAAAAATTCTATGAATAAGTGAGTACCATGTGTGTAAATAGTTGTTCGATCGTGGAATTGAGATCCTCCTTCCAAAAAATATTCTGGGTCATCTTTTTTGGTGAGTAGTACTCTCTTTAGTAATGGTGTCCTTAAGACTCCTTCAGAGAAGATCTTCAATTTTGAGCATTGACTTACAATAACTTGCTCCAAACAGGGGAATTTGAAGGAATAATTGGCTGAGCAGAAGAATGTGAGGTCTGTTAAACAGTAAAGCTCCAAAATTTTCAATTGGTCAAAAACAATTTATTCTTCTCTATCTCCCTCTTTTGCTATTACCTCTGTCACTAACTTGCAATCTCTTATTCTCGTTGTTTTGAGATTGACAAGAGTTTTGACAGCGGAGCATGTTAGTACATAGGCCAATCCATTGCAATAGCATGCCTCTAGAATTTTAAGGTTTTTGAAAGACGTTGCGGATGGTATTAAAATTGTCAAACAATGACAATACTCTACTTCTAGAGTTCGAAGATTTTGAAGAAATGTGTCCCCTTAGAAATCTTGTTTCCATATATGTCCTCGTTCATGGGGAAATAGCTCTTTGAAACTATTACCACTAAAACAAAGTGATTCCAAACAATATAACCTTTGAAGGAAACTGAACAGAGAAGCAACGAATTCATCATCAAAGTTACCCATCGAAAGTTGTTTAAGTTTGCCAAAGCTCTTAGCTAGATCAATGTGGAGGAATGTCAATTTGAAGTTGTGTGCATCTAAACCTAACTCTTCCAAATTCAGTATGACCTGAAAATTGATGAGCAAGCAAATAAGTAGGTGTTAGCATTCACTCATCAACAAGTTCACTGGCATAAACAAAAAAATGCTATGATTTTTTTCATAGATATGGTACAGGTGTCACATGTTATATACTTTTGAAGAAGCAGTCAGTATCATTAATTATTAGTGCAGCTAATTATAAGCAAGTAGAATCATTAATTAGTAGATCCTTAATTTTGAAATAATGTAAATGGAAATGTACAAGGCAAAATGTCTTATCTACTTTTATGAGCCAAATTTTAATGTAGGAAATAAGAATTTGGTTTATGATGTACCTGCAACCGATATTACCAACAAAATTTCTCCAGTTGATTATGTTAATTATATATTTCAAATAATTAAATAAATAAATATCTTACAATGTCAGTATGCACTTTAAACAAGAATTACATATATGAACAATAATTTTTATTCAACAAAATGAAGAATACCTCACAGCTGTAACATTCAACTAATTATTATATATCAACTCAATGGATTTAAAGAGAAAAAGAATTTAATATAACCAAGCAAAAGGAAAAGTGCTTTTTAGTTTATTTTCATTTGCAATGGAAACATTGATGTCCTCATGAATTGGAAACCAAAGTTGACTGACGCTTAGTTAATATCTTAATTTTCATTTGGGGTATTGTATCATACTAAAAAGTGCAACACAAAATAAAAGGATTTATGTTATATTACGTAAAAGGAAAAATTGGCTATCCCACAATATTTGTGCACAAATATAATCAAATTAAGCGATGGTCAGATTAATTTAAATGATCATAAACATATTGCATTTTTTAGTAAGTATGGATGAAATTGAAATCATACCTTTTATAACAGAAAAATGGCAGGTTGGCTTTCTTCATCATCTTTCTTTTGGAAGCTAGGAAATTCTAAAGCATATATTTTTATCTTCTTGCAATCATACACACCCAAACTATTTAGCATTGGCTACTCTGTTGTATGCAACCCTAAGTAGAAACATTTGAGTTCTGATAAATTATCAAGATGGATGTATGTTAATTGTGGAAACAAAAATCTAGGGGCCCCGTTGACTTCCTCCTCAGAAACAATTTTCTCCAACCCATAGGAGGATAAGTGCAGGTCATTAAGTTGCATGAGACCAGTAGCTATAGTAATTGGAAAGAAACTTTTCACACTCCAACAACTTTCAACGGTTAACTCTTTTAGATTGTGAAAGGTGAGAAGTCCGTGAGAATTAGATGGAACAATAGTCTTTAACTTTTCACAAAATTCGACTCTCAC